TCCCTCCAGCCTTGCCACCACCTCCCCAGCCGCTCCCAGCACCTCCCCAGCCGCTCCATCCACCTCCCCAGCCACTCCCACCGCCTCCCAGCCACTCCAACCACCTCCCCAGCCCCTCCAACTGCCTCCCAACCACTCCCACCATCTCCCCAGCTGCTCCCACTGCCTCCCAACTGCTCCAACCACCTCCCCATCCTCTCCAGCCTCCTCCCTGGCTGCTTCCACCACCTCCCCAGCTGCTCCAGCCCCCAGCGAGGGGATGGGGATGGCGTTTCTTCTCCAAAAAGCCCCAGTGCTCGGTAGAGCCAGGCAGCATGGGCGCTCTGGGAGGTGCCGCGGCTCTGGAGGGGGGGAGCGTGCAACGTTCAGCCTGAGGGTTTAGCGGGTCGGGTGCTCGATCGCCTCCTGGATCCGTCCAGGGCAGCCTTGGGAGGTCCTGCCCCTCCCACTCCGCTGGGCTCCCACCGCTTTCACAGAATCACAGAATTGCAAGGGTTGGAAGGGACCTCTGGAAATCATCTAGTCCAACCCCCCGGCTAAAGCAGGCTCTCCTAGAGCATTCTACACAGGACTTCGTCCAGGCGGGCTTTGAATATCTCCAGAGAAGGAGACTCCACAGCCTCCCTGGGCAGCCTGGGCCAGGGCTCTGTCACCCTTGAAGTAAAGAAGTTTTTCCTCATGTTCAACTGAAACCTCTTATGTTTCAGTTTGCACCCATTGCCCCTAGTCCTGTCGCTGGACACCACTGCAAACAGACTGCTTCCATCCTCGTGACTTCCGCCCTTAAGATATTTGTACGGGGTGATAAGGTCTCCTCTCAGTCTTCTCTTCTTCAGGCTTAACAAGCCCAACTCTCTCAGCCTTTCCTCGTCGGGGAGGTGCTCCAGTCCCTTTATCATCCTAGTTGCTCTCCTCTGGACTCTTTCTAGGAGTTCCTCGTCTTTCTTGAACTGGGGAGCCCAGAACTGGACACAGTACTCCAGGTGGGGTCTCACCAGGGCAGAGTAGAGGGGGAGGAGAACCTCCCTCGACCTGCTGGCCACACTCCTCTTAATACACCCCAGGATACCATTGGCCTTCTTGGCAACAAGGGCACATTGCTGGCTCATGGTCAGCTTAT